TTGGTGAACTTAAGTACTTAACCCGGAAGTATATGTGTAAGAAACTGGGAGAAAACGGGTGCGGTCCCACTAACATAAATGGAAAAAACCTATATGAAGCCCAAATGAGGTTCCATCCCAAAATCAATTGGTGGAAGGAGGAGTAGCTCATTAGTCTTATAAGGTGGGTCTATTTTCCATGTATGAACAATGTAGGACAACTCACAAGTGATATTCTAACACGTCCCCTCACTTGTGAATACTTCGGAAGTCCAAGCCCAAGTGGGTGCCCCAAGCCTACTAGAAGTAGACTCCCATAAACGGGTACGTGGAGAAGCAGACTCCCATAAACGGGTATGTCATCGCACAGTCCCAATAGAACCGGCTCTGATACCATTTAAGAAAAGAAACTGGGAAAAAACGGGTGCGGTCCCACTAACATGAAGCGCACCATGAGGGGAAAAGCCCATATGAAACCCAAGTGGGGTTCCATCCCACATCGTTCATACATGGAAAATAGACCCTCCTTATAAGACTAATGGGCTACTCCTTCTTTCACCAATTGGTTTTGGGATGGAACCCCACTTGGGCTTCATATGGGTTTTCCCCGCTTTGGTGCGCTTCACGTTAGTGGGACCGCACCCGTTTTTTCCCCCAGTTTCTTACATGGTATCAGAGTCGATTTTATTGGGACCGTGCGATTACGTACTTGTCCCCCAATTTCTTACAATATGAAAATTTGTACTAATAATTAGAGCTTAACAAATTTTAAGCTCGAGTTTAAACATGCTCCAAGCCTCCAATCGAACTCACAAATGACTCTTTTCATTTAAGTGGTAGTAAAATTACTTAGATGTTTAAAAAATAAAACTAAAGAAATTCAAAATTACACCATGGCGTACTTTCATCTGTGCTCGAGTTTGTGGGGGGTTTTTTGTTGACACGTGGCGATGTCTCCAGCTTTTGCTCAATTATTATAGACTTTTTTTTTACACACACAAGAGAATTAATACTGGTTCTTCAATTCCCCTCCCAATGACTCGAACTCGAGATATAGGATACGCCGGTGGACTTTGTCTACTAATCATTGCTCAATTATTATGGACTTTGTCTACTAATCATTGCAATCAACGTGCTAGCTAACTATTATATGTAACAATTAGAAAATTATTGGGGAATAAATCATGCATAATTTGTTTCATATCAACGATGTTACGACCATGAATAGCAATTCACTACAGACAGAATAGGAGCTAGGCGGGGAGCTAGCCTGGCATGAGCACTTCGACGGCATACCAAGAAATTGGCGAGCACATCACCTAGCCACCTCGACCAAAAGGTTATGCCAAGGGAACCAGGGCCTGGAGGTAGCTTCGTGATCAAGTTACGAGAAAATTGACAACATTAAGGAGTCTGACAAGAAGTCTTCAAGCTATGTGTAACCTCAACTATAAAAAGAGCACATGTTCATTCTTTTGACACAACACACATACACGCGTGAATTTATTTTCTAGACATTCTGCTGGGCGTTGGCCAAACTTGAGCGTCAGAGTATTTTTCGCCGGAACCTTCCCGGTGTTTTGCAGGTCGTTGGAGGCATCAAGACAATTCAAACCACCGGTGTGGTTCAACCCAATCGAGGTACGCAACAAATGGAATAAATGTGTTTTAAGACTTCGTAACAAATCAATAACATATCCATCAAAATATTTGTGTAACACTAATTTCTATATAAAGCGGTTATAAGTACTTTTATTCTCTTCACTGACCCGCAATATAATAATTTTATAAACAGGCTCAAGCAGTTGAGGAGTTAAGGGGCGAGAATGCGATATTATTTTCTTGTTCATAAAAACGTTTTAAGTAAACAATAAAACTGAAACCGAACATGTGAACAGCATAAATAAGGGACGAGAATGAAATAAAAAAAAGTACAGAAAACTGACTGGGACCATGTGAGAATCTATATCTATATACATATAAAGAGGGAGTTGATGGAATTTATTGTTAAATATAGATGATATGCAATGACTATATTTGGCAACATTTCTACATTTGGTTGGGTAATTAATTGTAAGGTTAATTATTTTTGTTAAGAGTGCCAAATAATAATGGGAAATGCATTAACATACTAAATTCATATTCAATTATTTTTGGTTAATTTTAAGAATAGAAAAGTGGCAACTTACTTAAATTATTCCGTTTGGAAATTTAAAAAGAATTAATATTCTTGTACTCGATATTTAAAAATATATAACATCAACTACGCTCAAGTCTCAACCATATTCTAATATACCTTAAATATATTTAATATCTTGAACTCTGCATATCATTACTATGTTTTAAAGGCAGTAGTATTAGTTTACATAACCATACGTATTAGTTCATTTTAACATTAGGCATAGATCCAAAAAACATGTTAAAAAAATATTTATTATGAATAACATATTTAAATTAAGTTATTAGATGAATATATGATGATGGTGAATGCTGGCAAAATTTTAAAAATGATACATCACGTTAGGCGTTGACAACAAAAGAGACATTTTGTCGTCCCTCACGGAAAAGAAACATGTAGTTGATGATTTGGTCAAAAAAGATACATTAATCACCATACCTGATAAAAAAGCTGACGTGGTCGGATTAGGTAGTGATGTGGCATTATAACTTTCCTTAATTTCCTACGTGTTATATACATGACGTGATGTGGCATCATTATCTCCAAATACACAACTGCACATAGATAAAAAATATAAAAATAAAATAAAAAATCCAAAACTAAATAAATATAAAGACACATCAGCAAAATGAATACAAAATAAAATAGAAATAATAAAAATAATAATAAAAATAGGAAAATAAAAAAATAAAAAATCCAAAAATAAAAAAATATAACAAATATATTTTGTTAACTATATATTAATATAATATTTAAAAAAAATTATATTATAGATATAGTTCGCTAATATATATTAAAAATGTTTGTTAATAATAAGAATTATATATAATTTATTATATTATCTAATATAATAATTTACGTAAAAATTTATTTACTTAATATATATATAAATATATTAAATATAAATATAAATCACAAAATATAAATTTATATTAAAAAATAATATTTTAATATATTTCAAAAAATATATTTTAAAAAATATTTTTATTTATTTAAATATAAATTTATATATGTGGTGTATATTTATATTTAATATATTTATTTATATTAAATAAATAAAATATTATGTAAAGTAATATATTAGATAATATGATAAATTATATATAATTATTCTTATTAACGATTTTTTTTTCTTTTTTAGTATTTTTTAATATATATTAGTGAAATATATTTATATTAAACGAATTATTTTTTATTTTTCAATATATATTTACAAAATATAAATTTTTTCAATATTTTATTAATATATAGTTAACAAAATTGAACGAAATATATTTCTTATACTTTTTTTTTTATTTTTGGGTTTTTTATTTTCTATTTTCTATTATTATTATTTTATTTTTTCCAAAGTGTTTTTATTATTTATTTATTTTTGGATTATCTTTATTTTTATTTATCTATGTGTAGTTGTGTACTTGGAGAGAAGGATGACACATCACGCCACGTATATACCACGTAGGAAATTAAGAAAATTTATAATGCCACGTCATTATCTAACCTGACCACGTCAGCTTTTTTATCCAGGTTGAGTAATTAATGTATCGTTTTCGACCAAATTGTCAACTAAATGTTTTTTTTCCATAAGGAACAACAAAATGTCTCTTTTGTTGACAACGCCTAACTTGGTGTATTATTTTTAAAATTTTGCTGGTGAATGCTTAACAAAATACATGAATCATATTAATGTCAATAAAAATTAAGCATTATTAATGGTGAATGCTTAACAAAATACAACCTGACTTACCAAGATACTCGAGTACACAATATAAGTAATTCACGCTATAAATCTCATATTCAAAATATGTGTCATTATATTGTTCTCTCATAGTTCAAGAAGACTGAAATCTACATTAATATTCCACAATTTTTGTGTATACCAAGTTTTTCGGATACGTTGATTAATTTTTTTATTTTGTCCCTAATAGTTATTTTACATGGTTTTTTTAATACATGTACATAAACTTTTGTTTCGAAACATGATTGTTGCGATGAAAATATGTTATCCACATTTAATGGTGGTATTGTGTAACTAAGTTTTTTTGGAGATTTGATTGATGATTCTATTTTGATCTTTACTTACTATTCTCCATGGGTTTTAATTTTAATACATAAATTTTTGTTTCAAAACTTGATTTTTGCGATGAAAATATGTTATCTATGTCGAATGTTGGTGTTGTGTTCGAAATCAAGTTTTTCAAAGACGTTGAGTAATTTTTCTATTTTGGTCTCTAATTACTATCTTCCATGGGTTTTTTCAATACATAAATTTTTGTGTCGAAACATTATTATTGCGATGAAAATATGTTTTCCACATTGAATGTTAGTGTTTTGTTGAAAATCAAGTTTTTTCGGAGACATTGATTTATTTTTCTATTTTTGTCACTAATTACTATTTTACATGGGTTTTTTAATACTTAACCTTTTGTTTCAAAACATGATTTTTGCGATAAAATAATATGTTATCCACTTCAAATGTTGGTGTTGTGTTCAAAACCAAATTTTTTTGGAGACGTTGATTAATTTTTCTATTTTGGTGTCTATTTACTATTTTCCATAATTTTTTACTTTTTTTATACTTAAACTTTTGTTTCAAAACATGATTTTTGCAATGAAAATATGTTATCCACATCAAATGTTGGTG